CAGCGCAGCTGGGGTCGGCCCGGGCGCGGGGAGCCCAGCGAATTGGGGAGAGGGCGCCACTGGCCCGCACCTCGGGGTAGCGCGCCTCCCAGTCCCCAGATCCTCTTTTAGGCCTGCTCCAAGGGAATCGGGCAAGTCGACCCCTACGAGCCCCCCAGCACCCCCCCACCCCATCGGTTCCCCATTGTTCTCAGCCGTGCGCTCTCCCGGGAAGGGGGGAAGGGGTGCCGCGCTCTTCTCTTAAAGGGCCCTCTCCCTTTCTCCTCTCGGCAGGTCTCCAGCACGAGTGGGGTGGGGCGTGCCCATGGGCCCCCGCCCCCCTCGGCCCCCAGCCCAACTCCGGAGCTGCAGCCCAGGCCCGCGGGGCCGAGGGTGCGTTCCACCTCCCCGCCCCTCCCCCTCCCGTGTGTTCTGCGGCCACCCAGGTCTTCCAGGACCCCGCTGTGGATAAGAGACAAGGGTGCAGGGACGCCCCCTTCTGCAGGAGCCGTCGGGGGGGCCGGACCCAGGCACGCCGGACAGCCCCGCTAGAGCCAGGCGCTGGGTCTGGGGCGCAGTCGGAGCGCAGAGGGCTGGCTGGCCGCCACAGCGACCGCGGTGGCAGCTGCGAGCAGACTGGGGCCGGGGGGCCTCCTAGGTGACAGGCGCTGAGCGCTGGGCTGGAAGAATGCTTGGGAGAACGAAGGAGGAGGCCGGATCTAGCTTAGGGACAGCTTGCTGCCTGACCTGAGGGGGCCAAGAAATTCAGAGAGACGATCTCACCCTTGGACTGAGACTGCTCAGCGTGGAAGGGGGTCCCTGGAGCCTGGAACACCACCCCACACCCTTTTACCAAGGCCTGCAGGCCCCAGAGAGCAGTTAGAAAGGAGGCCGAACTGCCAGTCCCTGTAGGAGAGAAAGGACATTTTCTGCGCAGCCAGCCCGCAGGGCTAAGCCACAGCAGGGACCTGGCCCCTGAGGCCTCAGCGGCCATGTCACGGCCAGGCCAGGGTGTGATGGTGCCGGTGAACGGGCTGGGCTTCCCACCGCAGAATGTGGCCCGCGTGGTGGTATGGGAGTGGCTGAACGAACACAGCCGCTGGAGGCCCTACACGGCCACCGTGTGCCACCACATTGAGAACGTGCTCAAGGAGGATGCCCGAGGCTCTGTGGTCCTGGGCCAGGTGGACGCCCAGCTGGTGCCCTACATCATCGACCTGCAGTCCATGCACCAGTTTCGCCAGGACACGGGTAAGCAGTGCCTCCACCCTCCATCCACTTCACCCCATCCCACCCTCCAGCTGGGCTGAAGGCACACATACCCCCACCCCACTTTCTGGTGGGATGCTGAAATCCCCAGCATCCCCGAGGGTGGAGCCTGGAACTGCAGAAAGACCCCCATCTGCTGAGCCAAACGCTCTCCCTGAAGGAGCCGTTCTAGCCTAGTCCCATTTAAGACTCCCGGTGCCAACCCAGCCTTCTATGTTCGATGTGGGGCCAGTCCTGTTTCCTCTGGAGCCTCAATCTGCTATCTGCAAAATGGGTGGATTTGATCTCTCGCTCTCACGGCCAGCCATGTGAGCATGAAATAAAAGTGAGCTCGCTGGAGCCTGGGGCCAAGAAGACAGTGCCCCATTTGATTTTTTTACAACCATTGTTGGCTCCTCAGCCCCATTTTACAGATGACTTGACTGGTTTAAACTCAGCTGGGATGGAAACCCAGAGTCACGGCTTTTAGCTGGTATCATGAACTGCCTCCGGGTGCTGGTGGTGATGGTGGTCACAGTGTCAGTGGAGGGTGTCAGTGGTTTGATGGCAGTGGTGGGGTGGTACTGATGAGGGAATGGGAGGATTGTACCAGGGAGGTCAGTAATTGGCCTGGTGGTGGTGGTGATTGGTGGTGGGCATGATGATGGTGGTGTGGTTGTGGTGATGATGGGGAAAATGGTGGTGGTGATAGCGGTGGCACTGGTGATGGTGAAGATGGTGATGGTGGTGGTGGTGATGGTGGTAGTGATGGTGATGATGATGGTGGTGGTGGTGGTGGTGGTGGTGGTGATGCTGGTGATGGTGATGGTGATGATGGTGGTGATGGTGGTGGCAGTGATGATGGTGGTGGTGGTGATGATGATGATGATGGTGATGCTGGTGATGGTGGTGATGGTGACGGTGGTGGTGATAGTGGTGACGGTGGTGGTGGTTGTATACTGACAGCAGGAGTGAGGCCAGTGATGTGCTGGCATGACAGAGGGACGTGGTGAGGATGGGTGGCAGTGGTGGTGGCGTTATTGGGTCATGGTGGTGGTAATGGTGGCAGAGGGGTGGTGTTGGCGGCCGGGTGGTGTTGGAGAGAATTTTGTTGGTAGCACTGTGGGCTGTTAGCTGTCGGTGACTGTGGCGTGGAGATGTTGGTGAAGGTAGCAGCGACAGTATGTGGTGACGGTGTCAGCGCTGATAGGATGGGTGAGAAGGGAATTTAGAGAGTCAAGACGAGGTCCCACATGGCATCTTCATCCTGGAGTCTGGCTAGCGATTTGCCGTCATGTAGCTGATGCCTAGTGGCCTCTGCGACAAGCTTGGTGGCAGTAAAGTACAGTGAGTTCCTGAGGTCCTGCCTCATGGAGCTTCAAAAGGACACTTGGTATGTATGACCCCCCAAGGGTCAGGAACTGCTCGTAAGGGCTTGGGACCAGCAGGGCAGTGCGGCTTTCCTTCTCTTGGGGGTGGGGACTAACTGCCAGTGGCTACTGGCGATTAAGGGTCACGGCAACAAGAGGAAGCAAGAAATCCTGTTCTTCTGTCCCACCAGACACATTTCAAGTGTTTAAAAGCCACAAGTGGGTCGTGGCTACCATACTGGGTAACCCAGACCCATGCCCTTTCCATCATGGCAGTGGAATCTTGTGACCAGTACTAGGGCATCTCCCAGTACTTTGGGTCATCACCAAGCCTGGAAAGGGGCTTGGGGGTGGCTTATTGGTGTTGTGTAGAGCTCCATCCTTGTCTCCATCACTCTAGATACTCGTCCTGGTGGTCCCCATCACTCACGCACTCCGTCCTGCAGCCCCTGAGGGAGCTGCTGCTGTGAGCCAGGCACTGGGCTATGCCCCAAGCACAGTAGAGAGCAAGGCGGGCAGGCGATTGGGCCCCCAGGAGGTGTCCGCAGATCTGGGAGACGGGTGTGCACACACCACCCCTACAGATGGTCTGCTTTACAGGGGCCCCCACAAAGACTCAAACAGCAGCTCTGATCGCATGAAAGACAGCCAGGCTAGTGCGCGTCTGCTCATGGAAGGCTAATCCAAGGAAGGGCTTTTTTGAACAAAGATCAGGAGGATGAGTCCTGGGGGGGGAGGGGTAGTGGTGATGGTGGTGGTGGTGGTGGTGGTGGTGGTGGTGATGATGGCGATGGTGGTGATGGTAGTGGTAGTGGTGGTGGTGGGGAGAATGATGGTAGTTTTATCAGTAGTGATGTCAATAATGGTGGTGTGATAGGATGGATGAGCTGGGGAGAAGAACTGGTGCAAAGGCCCTGAGGCAGGAAAGTGCCAAGTACCTTCAAGGTCATGGTGGCTACCAAGCGGGGAGGTGGTACAGGCTGGAACCTGGACAGCCGAGAAACGTCCTGAGATGAAGGGACACCACCGTCCGGTCCTTGCACCCCCGCATTCTCTCAGACCAGCTCCTGAAACCCTACTGGAGAAATGGAGAAGTCTGGGGATCCCCGGCTCCATTCTCCCTGTCTTATTTCAGCCCCTTCTCTGGTGGAGGGCAAAAGGTTGGCTAGAAAGTTGCCCCTGAATCTGCTCTAACTTGTGGAAACCCTGTGTGTCTCCGAGAACCCGGGTCTTCCAATGGTGCAAACGTCATCACCAGACCTTCCTTCTAAGGCACCAGCCGTCGGTTAGCAGACAAACACGATCAGCGTTCACACTCCCCAGCGACTCCCTGGGAGCAAGAGGGGCTAGGTTTCCTCCTTGGCTCAGAGCTAGCCCTGAGCTCTAGAGATTATCCGGAGCCTGGCCCTGAGGGAGGCCTGAGTCTCCGGGCGGCGGGAACCGTTAGTGCCCGCCTGCTCACCAAAAGATTGCAGATTTGAATCCACCTAGAGGCACCACATGGACTCTGGTGGCACCTTGCTGTAGTGGGTTACGTGTTGGGCTGCTAGGGAGAGGTCCTTTTGAGGAAAGGCCTCGCGCTGTCCTTCTGAGGAGCGCTGTCTTCTCCCATCAGGACCCACTCCACAGCATTTGCTGGCCGGTCTCTGGAAGCAGCCAAGTTGGCGACTTTGCCTTTGACTGCCCCCAGCTCTCAGGGCCCCTTTCAATCCCTAGCCCCCATCTCAGGGCCTGCCTCTTCAGACCCCGACTCTCTTCTTCCCCCCCACCCCGCCCCTTCGTCCTAGGTCAGCCGGTAAAAGTAGAAATCCCGTTCCTCCATGCAGCCGCCATTCAGCTGCGCTCAGTCACCCCACCCAAAGTCCTTCACTCCACACCTGTCCACTGGGGTCCGGAAACAGGAAAGAACGCTGCATGCCCCATTGGGCGCCTGGGCACCTGCCAGGACCCCCCAGTGAAGAGAGCCTGTGAGCGCTGGTGGGGGGAAGGGGGGGGAAGGGGAGCAGGCAATGGCTCGGATGGTAGAAATCTGCAAGAGGAAGGGGCAAAAAGATTCCCCACCACAGAGGTTACAACGCACTCCTGGTTCACATAGTGCCAAAAAAACACCTCAAGAAAGGAGATTTAGCCCTCACTGTTGATGGTCCTGGAATAAGCCTGAATCAGCGGGCAGGAGACCTGAATACCAGACCCTCCTCTGCCACTGGCCAGGGACAAGAGTCCTCCAATCTCAGTTTTCCTGTCTATAACATGGGTGTGGGCGGCGTCTTACTCGCAGGAAGCTTGGGTCGCTGGAGAGACCTGAACGTACCCCTGCCACCCGAAGCATTGCCCAAATTCAACACAAAAGCCAGACTCCCTGCGGTCCAGTTGATACCTACTCCGAAACCCTATAGGACAGGGTGGAACCGCCCCTGTGGGTTTCCAAAGCCCCATCTCTCTCCTGGGCAGGGGGTGGTATAGAACCGCCGACCTTGCAGTTAGCAGCCCAACACGCAACCTCACCCACTACACCACACACACACAGACACACACACACACACACACACACACACACACACACACACACACCAGCATACGCTGAGCCCCGCAGAGGATAAGACGCATGGCAAGAGTGAGGCTTTTACAGATGCTAAAAAGGAAAACAGTGAAACAATAAACAAACCCACTACCGTGGAGTGGATGCCAACTCAGAGCGACCCGACAGGGCTGGGTTGACCGCCCCTCTGAGTTTCTGAGACTGTCACTCTTTACAGGAGTAAGGAGCCCCGGCTTTCTCCCTGACACACTCAAAACAGCACAGAGCTGTAAAGCACACGGGTCTTGCACATCCGTCTGAATTTTCTCCCTGTAAAATTCTCTGGGGGTGCATTGCTCTGAACTCAAGTGGTTGCAGGCAGCAGGACAGGTCCCACCAGCTTGGGTTAGTGCCTGGACATCTGGGCTGGCAGCTTGGGGGTCAATAGTTCGGTTTTATCTCCATGGCCACTACTCAGTCCCACTAGTGTACCCTCCCCCCCAGAGCCACAGCAGGCAGTACTTAGAACAAAGAAGAACAGAGAACTGGTGAAACTCAACTGGGGGGTGGGGGTGGGGGTGAGGGGGTGGGGCGCTGTAGTTTGAAAGTCACATGTCACGAGTTTATGTTCATGAGCTCTTCTTGTTGAGTGTGTGCGTGTGTGCGTGTATGTGTGTTTCACCCGTCGTGTAAAATGGCGCACAACTGTTCTCAGCTGAACAAACACAAACAGGCCTGTGTGTTGTAGCTCACCAACCCAGGTCCTTACTGGTCTTTCCTCTGCCTAGGCTCGCTGTGAACTGAAAGGCATGCCTCGTGGTGTGTGCAGACACGGGCGCACACGTGTCCGGGCGTCCCTGTAACGTGTGCTGAGATGCACAGGCGTGTGCGTGCCCGCCAGCCTGGCTGGGTGCTGGGTGACAGACACATCAGCACGTAGTGTCTGTAGAGACAGTGTCATGCGGTCATGGGAGGACAGTCCAGGTGTCAGACTCAGCCCGCCCCCGCCCCCACCCCCATGGGGTAAGTGTTTGCACAGCTGTTGCCCCTTCACCTCTCCCCCCCTGGGCTGTTTTCACTGCTGGTGGCTCAGGGAGTGAGCTTCCCTGGGATGG